ATGAGAAGTTTAGTTCCTCACTCACACACATTAGCCACATTTTACATGCTTGATAACAACATGGGGCTAAAAATGACTGTGTTGGATATTGCAGACCCAAATGGTTACATCCTTGCAGAAAGTTCTCTTGAACAGGCCCTAGAAGCAGAGCATCTAGAATCAGTGTAGAACTCCAGACACCCTTGTTCATTCCTTGTGCCCTTCCAGGTTTGTCCCCCACGGTAATAACACTAGGGTGGACTCCCTGTGTAACTTCTCGTCATTAGCACACAATGGATGGAGTGGCCATCTGTGGAAAACTCCTGCGGCTGACCCATAATGGTACCCAGGTGAGAACTTTGCCCTGGACAAGACCAGTGTCCCTGTGGATTTTAAGGCTCTATGGTCATCGGAGCATAGTGGGGTTTCCAATTTTCACACCTGGGGCCTTTCCTAGGAGTCTGGAGGTCTGGTGATGGGACAGTATTGAACTTTCTTAGGCTGAAGAGACAGTCATGTTCCTGAGGTAACCAGAAGTTACATCTGCTTCCACCAAGGCAGAAAGCCCGCCTTCATGGATTCGGTTTATCCAAATGAGACCAAGAAGGAGGAAATCATGTGATGCCATTCCAGGTGTGAGATCTGTGACAGTGGAGACTGTGTCTGGGAGGCTTTGAAAGGCCTCAAGGAAGTGACATTTGCTGTGAGCAGAATGACAAGTGTAAGCCATGACTGCCTGTGTCTGAGAATGGCTTGTGTGTCAGGGAGAAGGTACCACTGGTGCAGAGACTCACAGGAAGAAGTGAGTTTGACCAGAGAAGGTCAGAAAGGTGGTGGTGTGGCTGGAAGGAGCCTGAGAAGAGAGAGGCGGGGAGATGGGAGCATGGCAGGCCTGGATCATGGGACCCAGTAGACTGTCTGGGTTTCCGTTCCTCTCTGACGACATTGCTCCAAGACCTTGCACCTGGAAAATACAAATGTTGGGGCCGGCTCCATGGCCGAGGGGTTAAGTTCAGAGATAGAAGAGGCCCTGAGAGGCACAATGGAGTTTCCAGAACACAGAACTGGTAGGAAAAAAGAGGTCTGAACTCAACTGTGTGTCCTCCAACCTGGAACTCTGGTTCCATTCCCGAGGAGTTGTTTGGGGCACTGTGATGGATATTTGCGTACTGTTATAGAGATGACATGGGCAAGGGAGGTGAGCAGTCAAGACCTCAGAGGGTATGATTGAAGAAAGGGGCCCAGATAATGGAAGCTTGGAGAAGTGACCTCACTTGTTTGGTGACAGACCCCAACAGAACTTAGTGCTTTGGTCTCCAGGCACCCACATTCTAGACACAGCCTCCTATCGAGCTCACTCAAGCCGAGACATTCAACACAGCAGGATGTTCTCATGTTGCATCCCTACTTGTTGAGGCTCTGGCTTCTGGAAAGCTGAGAATGACAGCCTTTTCAGTCACTGTAGACATTGGCTCAGCCCTCAACTGCAACGCCTCTGGCCATTTGGCAGGATGAGACCTCAGTTAACACAGGGCAGCCCAGGGCAGGCCACTTCAAGTCAGACCACAGCTGGATCCTACCTGGGCACCCCCACACCCCTTGAGGGAGGAGTGAGGAGGGGTGGAGCCAGGAGTGGAGGGGGGAGTGAAGTGAGGGGTGGGGGGCTGACTGGGGACCATCCTGGGCAGGGGCAGGAGCAGGTTGCTCAGTGTTGGAAGCCTGGCTGTGTGTCATGTTCATAGCCCAGGTTGTGGCTGGCAAGATGGGAAGGTGAGTGCTGGGGACCAAGCTCCTCTAACTGTATGTAAATCCCAAGCCTTCCAGATGTCACCTCATTCCTTCCCTGGCTGAAGGTCTATGTCCTCTGTACCTGATCTGTGGTGGGATTTCCTCCTCTGGCCAAGTCACAGCAGGCTCCTGAGACCTCCTGGCCTGGCTCTTGGGCATTGTCTGCAGAGCTGCATGCAGGAGATGGTCGAGGAGCTGGTGGATGGCTTCGGTTACCCCACCTCCCTGGACAGGGGCCAGGTGCACTAGGCCACCAACAATGACCAGGGCTGGTCTGAGGTGAGAGCGGGCACAGAGGGGTCACCACATCCACTACCCTGAGATGACCAAGGTCAGTCCAGAATCCAGACTCAAACTGAGAATCCCTTAGGATCCTAACAGTGCTGTCCCACCTGAATGTCCCACAGTCTCATTACTGAAGGAATCTGGACTTCTCCTCCCCACCAGTTGCACAGGAAGGTGTGAAGTTTCTTTTTGCATATTCCTAGGAAGATTAGAGAAAACATTGATGTTGTTGTGACTTCCCACTAGGCTATGAGTATCTTTGAATTTTGCCTTTTTCTGAGCTTGGGACCCTCATAATGAGGGTCTCAAAACTCCCTTTAATGTAAAAGAAAGAACCATCAGAGTCTTTTTGAAATCAAAAGGATTCTCATAGGATGTCTCTGCCCTGTACACTGTCTCCACACTGGGGGAGGGTGAGGTTCCCGCGGAACATTTCCCCCCAGGTCAGGGGCAGATGAACCTCAGGCCGTATAGAGGGAGTGTCCCACAGCCCTCTCTTGGTGTGGTCCTTGATTCTGACCTAAGCTGATCTTGAGAAGCCCCTTGGCATGCGTAAGCCTCTGTTCTCATCTCTACAGTGGGGCGTCTGTTGAGGATTCACTGGGTGGCGCTCTTCATGGAGGGAGGGCTGTTGTTCCTCATCTAACACACAGCCTGGAGGGAGCTCACTGTAGAATCTTCCCCCACCCAGACTCAGTATTTTGAAAGCCTAGAACCTTGTTCAGTGTAGGAACTCCTGTCCCTGCTGTTGCACACATCCCTGAGGGGCTTGGAGTTCCTGGGTGAGCTGAAGACCTCGAACCTTCTGGTGGGTCATGGTGATGCTGCTGACTGTATGTCCTGCCTTGTCTCACCCAGAGTGAAGATGACTCCACTGCACATCTAAATGAAGCCTGCAGGATATGTGCCCTCCTGGCAGGTGTGATGGAGAAGCTGAGTCTAAGGTCTCAGCCTTCCTGGGTAGAGTCATCTGCAATGTCACCACCTTTGTGTTCAACTACTCGGCTTTCAACACATATCACCAGGTCCTGGACCAGCTGTTTTCTAGGTGAGTACCTGCCCTCTCCTGAGTACAGTGGTGACTCTGCCCACTGCCAGCTGTGTGTCTTGGGAATGTCATCACATCTCTCTGAGCCTCAGTTGGCTCCTCTGAAAAGTGGGGTGGGAGAGGATCAACTTTATAGGGTTCTCCCAGGGACTAAGGGGATCAGCCATGGCAGGTGCTTTCCTGGTTCCTGGCTCTGCAGAGAGGGCTGTGGGCCGTGCTATGGTTGTTCATGCTTATTATTTCTCTGTCCCCTTTGAAAAGTAGTCCTCCTCTCCCGTCACTGGCTTGTGGCCTTTCTGAGTTTGGGAAAGCACAGAGAAAGCATGCTGTCAAGGATTTTGAGACTCCATCCAGCTGGTCCTGGTCCTTGTCCTTGGTGTAGGCAGTGAGGGATCTCTGGGGAAGCAGAGGGGCCCCAGACCCACTCAGATACCTGGGATGGTTCTGGTTGAAGTTCATTCAACAATGTATATTAAGCACATACTCCATGAACGACTTTTGGAGACACTTAGCATGACTCAGTGAATGAAGCAAACACCATCACTGGGCCTCAGTTCTAGTGTGAGAATCAGAGAGTCACACAACATCATTCGCAGGTCCCATCCACCATACATCCCATGATGCCCTCGTACCCACTTGAACATCGGGAGGCATTTCCCCACATTGTGAGTGGGATGGTAGACCACAGGGCTGCCTAAAAATGTGCATGGTCTTTGGGTCCAGAAGGAGGGCCTCCTGTCTCTAGAGAGCAGGGTGAGGGGAGAGTATGGTAGATGTGACTCAGGCAGGCCTGGCAGAACCCTGCATCTTACTCATCTTTTGGTTCCCATGGGAAGGCTGAGGTCTAATGGCTTCCACTCCAGGAGTACAGAAGACAGAATGAGCTGTGGATGGGTCCCAGGTCCCCTGGGAACCAGAAAGGAGGCTGGGCTGAGTTGTTTCTAGAGACTCATCCCCGCCAGAGTCCCGTCTCACTCTGCCTCCCTATCTCCACATCCACCCATTTGACCACCACCACCAGGTCCAGAACAGGAGGTATATGAGCCAGCTGCTCACAAATCTGCCTCAGTCCTCAGTCCAGGTGCCCAAGTGCATGGAGGGCTGAGGTGGGCTGTGTCCAAGCCCTTTGGGAGAAGAATGTCGGTGCAAGTAAGAGACTCACATAGACTCTGTGTTCAACCTGCTGGATCAGCAGGTCTGCCACTGCCAGGACAGCCAGCAGGGGTTCAGGGCTGGGATGGGGCTCTCCTCTGGAGGGGGAGGGGCAGGCATGGGGGCCCAGATGCAAACAAGGGTGCCTTGGGAGGGCAGTGTGGAAGGAAAGGCCAGGCCTCTGACTCTGTGGCCCATCTGCCTCTCCCTAGTGCTGTCTCTTCTACGGTGGGAACCTGGCTTGACCAAGGGCAGGATTTCTGGGAGCCCCTGTGTTTTCCTTGTTTGATAGTGAAGCTGGCCACTGTGTATGTCAGCTTTGGTGGCTCAGACCCGGAGGTCCATGCCTACCTTCTGCTGGGCCACCTGGAACATCTCAAGGCCATTGAGATGGAGCAGAAAGGTGAGGGGACTGCAGTCTGGGAAGACAGTCTGTGCTGGGCTTAATGGGCTGGAGTTCTCTTAAAGGCAGTGGAGTCTTTCCCGTCTTTGGAAAGGCACAGGAACTGTCAGGTGCGTGGGTGAAACTTTCTCTTTATCCCGCTCCAGAGCCAGCTCCAAAGCTCCTGTCACTTTCAGAGCCAGAGCCAGTGCCAGCCCCTGGGTTAGAGCCAGCTTCACCTCCAGCCCCACCATCTGTGGTAGAGCTGGAGCCAGCAGGCCCTGCGCCAGCCCCTCCAGGACTGGAGTAAGGGCCACCATTAACTTCAGCCCCAGAGCCGGCTCATGCACTGGAGCCCACTGGACCATGGGGTCTAGTGAGATTTCCAGTTCCATCTGCACAAATAACGAGTGTGCCAGGTCCAGCGCCAGAGCCCACCTGCCCCTGGGCTGTGACCACCGAGAACCAGCTGAGGGAGGAGAAGCTGAGCCTCTTGGACTTCCCTCCCCAGCTAGTGGCAGAGCAGCTGACAAGGGTGGCTGCAGTGAGCAGCAGGGCTTGCAAGGTGGGTGGGCCCTGCCTTCCTGTGCCATGAGCTGCCATTCATGTGCCACACCTGCCATTCCCTGATCTGGAATCCCATGATCTGGGTCCAAATCTGTTCCCCGCCTTACCAACACTGTGACCTGGGCAGCTTTCTTAACCCCCAAGCCTTCGCTGTCCCCACAGGACAGTAGAGGCGGACACTCAGAGGACCTGCTGCACAGAATGGCTGTGTAGATAAATGAGGTGGAACAGAGAGGCAGTTGAGCAGAGTCTGGCCCTTTGGTGGGGGAGGAGAGCTTCTTGGGTCCATCACCTATCTGCCCAGGTGGCCTCAACAGCCTCAGTACTCATTAGGCACATGATGTGTATTGACTACAGGGGAGACAAACAAGCAAAGCCAGTGGTTGTCCCTGCCACTGGGGAATGTGCATCAGAATGGGGAGTGGGACCTGAGGGTGATCAGAATGGGTGGAAGATGGCCCTTGAGATGGGCAGGTGTGGGCTGCGTTCTGGAGCTTAGAGGAAGTGAGACGGGGCTGGGAGCAAATGCCCCCTCCCTTCCCCACAGTACTGTGTCCCAGGTCATCCTGTGCTGGCTGCCTTCAGTGGACACAGACAAAGCCCAGGGACTCCCACAAGTCTCAGACCACACCTCTGCTTCCTGAGCTCCAGCTCTGACCTCACCCTGCCTGGGACTGTGGGGGACTGTGGACACCGAGCCGGTGTGCGGCAGGGCCGGGTGACACTCCGAATCTTTCTCAGCAGCTGTTCAAGACATTGGTGTCCACCCACTGCCTGAGCTCCATCTGGTCCCAGCGTGACAACAGGGTCTGCAAGTACCTGGCACTCACCATCTGTGACACTATCACCTACACCAACACTGTGGCCAACTGTGTCATTGTCACCTGCCTCAGGGACCCAAGCCTGACAGCCCAGGACAGGGCCAGGGTGGTGGAGCTCTGGATTCAGGTGGCTGAGGTAAGTCATGGGAGGCCCTCTCTGGAGGCGTGGGAATTGCCTCTTGTTTCTAAGCTCTCAGGATTGAAGTCTGTGCTCTGAGTCCCTGCACTGTCCCTATTCCCTCCTGCCAGGGCCATACTGACCTTGACTTGAGGTCCCAGTGGGGCCAAGCTCACTTCCTTCCTGTGCTCCTTCCTTGTGTTGAGCTAAAAATCTTCGTGCCTGGGAGTGTTACTCATCAGGTCCCAGCTGTGCCCTCCCTGGGCCTCTGTCTCCTCCAGGACAGGAGAAGTCCATGAGGGGGCAGAAGCCAGAGGCAGCAGAGCTCCAGCTCCCCCTCACGGCTCAATCTCTTCCCTTCCCCAGGGGTGCCGAGGCCTCGGAAGCTTCTCTTCCCTCCACACCATCCTTTCTGCTCTGCAGAGCCCTGCCATTACCCGTCTCCAAGAGCCCTGGGGACAAGTTTCCAGGTGGGTAGGCTGCTCTCCACCTGAGCACCACGAGGCTGGACCAGGCAGCCCACATAGGGTTGGCGTTGCCCCCGTAGTCAGCTGGGACCACCTAGGAGACAGCAAATGCCAGACACAGCAACTGATCTGGTTCCTGGGTCTCTGAGTCTCTCTGGGACCCTAGGCCAGCAGTTGTGCCCCAGGAATTCATTTCCTTAAACATCAGATCTGGGCTTGAGCTCAGCTGGAGATTTTCCAGTACTCCCTTTGCAGCAACTGAAATCTCTATACAACTGAAACCAACACTGTTCAAAACAGATCTGTGTGGTAGATATGGGAATGGAGGCCCCAGGTGAAAACAGGAGAGGCCCCCTCCCCAGTCCCATGGGGACCTCAGGGCTCAGAGCACCCCAGTGAAATCCCTCATCCAGGCCCTAGGCTGTTTGGATCTTCTGGGTCCTCAAACAAAAGGGATTTGCCCTTCAACCACCAGACAGTTTTTCTTTCTTTCTTTCCCCACCCCCTAGGGAGAGCTCTCATCGCTTAAGAAGTGGTGCAGGAGAGAGCAGCACGTGAGCAGGAAGCTGCTCCTGAAGGTAACCTGGAGGCTGGAGATCTGGAAGGAGGGGAGGGGTAGAGGGGAGGGGAACATCCTGAGGGGATCTTAGGAGACGAGGCTATGGCAAGGCCATGGGCCAAGCCTGGGTGTCAGAGACCCCTGTGGGGGTGGAGCAGGAAGGATCCACTTGGCCAGGTCCCCTAAGACACCCTGTCCCTCTCTGTTCATGTCTCAGTTTGGCTGGGGTCTGGATGCACTCCGAGTCCAGAGGTCAGGACCTTGGTCAGTGGTGGGGCAGGGGGAGGGGTGAAGGCTGGGGGACAGGGCCTCTGGCTTGGAGGGGGAGTGGGCTCTCCTCAGTGGGTCCTTGAGCAAGTCACTGTCCCTCTGTGGGCCTCGGTCTCCTCCTCTGGGAAATGGAGGAAGATGACGTGGTACAGGCCCACGGTGGGATGATACCGTTCAAAGGAGGATGGAAATCTGAGGAGATTTGTGCTGGCTTCTGCTTGAGAGGTAACGGGAGAGCAGTGATGAAAGTCAGATGACATTGGGTCCTCAGGAGACTCCTGGAAGCAGATGACGTTCTCTTCACACTTTCCAGATGAGGAAAGAGGCTCAGGGAGGCCTGGGCAGACCCAAGGTCACCCAGGAGTGAGTCCTGGAGCTGGGACTGGTCTAGAATCAGAGCACCCTGGGGGTGGGAGCAGCATAGGCAGCAGGGGACTGGAGCCAGATGGCCAAGGTCCGAGGTCAGGGGCCTTGGGGGACGTGTGGAGGGGAGTATGGGCACACTGACCCTGTCCTCGGCCCCGACAGGAGGCGACCGCCGTGTTAGAGACTGCAGAGAGGGCCTGCCAGGGAGCCCAGGAGAGGCAGCGGCAGCAGGTGAGGGTGACTGTGGGGGAGGGGCCTAGGAGTCAGAGGAGAGGGGGCTCCCCCTCCCAGCTGGAGGCCTCCCTCAGGAGACGGGCCTTCCTCCTCCAGCACATCTGCTGTGGCCGCCGAGCCTGAAGTGCCTGCAGTGGCAGTGAGCAGGAGGAGGCCTGGAAGGGCTGTCAGCAGGACAGATTTGGGGTGGGGAGGGGCAGGAGCCACACCCCCTGGGATTGGCCAACAGCCAGCCCTGGGACTTGACTGGTGCATTTTGGTGCTCCTGGAGGGGAGGGGAGGAGGGAATTGTGTGTGTTGGGGTGTTGAGAGGATCCTAGGCTGCTGTGTGTGGGAGCGTGGGGTGGGCAGGAGGCTGGGGTGAGGGGTTTCAGAGGAGGGATTATGGGGGTACCTGAGAGCGGGAGCTCATCACCATGCCCACCCCGATGGCGGCACAGGGTGTCCTCCCCTCCCTGGTGACATTCTTCAGTTCCCTGGAGCTGCTGGACGCTGCGATGGAGGATTATGTGGAGGTGAGTGAGCCTGGAGGTGGGTCTGGGGGCTCAGGCTCCTGAGGGTGGGGAGGAGAGTCCTGCCCTGAGCCCTGAGCTCTCTGCATCTGGCAAAGGTCCTCTCAGCAGAGCCTCCAGCCTCCTGTGGGAGCCGGGGCGTCAGGCCCATCCCAGCGATGAGTGATGGAGGCCCTGCATAAGCCACCGTCCAGGTTCCCTGGGCTGCTGAGGCTCAGAGCTGCCTGGCTGTGTGGCCGCAGGAGGTGGTGTCTGAGCTGGACTCAGCCCCTCCCTCTGGCCCTGCCAATGAGGGAAGAGAAGTCGGGCCCCTCCCAGTCAGGAAGCACATCAGTGGCTGAGCTGTCCCTTCCTGCCTGAGGCCTCAGTGTCTCCATCTGTCATCAGAGGGGGTTGGGTTATGAGGTCTCAGCTCCTCTGTCCCACCTGTTCTGCAGCCCAGAGCCTGGCCCAGGTCCAAGTCCTGTTTCTGGAAGTGTCTGCCCTCTGGCAGTAGTATAACATTGGAAGGGGTGTGGATGGGGGCTAGTGATGGGCTAAGGGGGCTGTTGCTGATGGACTTTGGCTGTATGCCTTCCAGGGCAATGTGTCCAACTTGGAAATGGAATGAACTAAGCAGCTGCGGCCTCACTGTATTGAGGGTGAGGGTGTGGAAATCACAAACCCTCCCTTGGGCAAGACCCCCTCTGGCCCAACCTCTGGGGTCTGACATTTATTTGGAGAGTTCTATATTCAGAGCTGGGGATCCTGTGGCATTGGTGGTTGGGGGAAGGGCTGACATCAAGGACACCTTCCTGGAGGGGGAGTTGTTTCAAGCCAACTGTGAGAGCAGGCAAGTCCTGACTGGAATTGCAGGGAGGGAGGGTTCCCAAGTGGGCAAAAGCCCCAGACCAGCTCCTTGTTCCTCTCCTCACCCCCTCCAAGTGCCCTGCAGGATTCCCCCAGCCCTGTGTGCATCCCGTCCTTCCTCTGGCCCAGGAATTCAAACTCATGGAGGAGATCGAGCTGCTCCAGGAGGCTACAAGTCTGTACACCTTGCAGCCTGTGGAGCACTTTGGGGCCTGGTTCCAGGCTGTGGAGCCCCTGAGCGAGGAGAAGAGGTGAGGTGGGCTGGGAGTTGGGGGAGGGCAGGGTGGACTCTCTCTGCAGACCAGCACCAGTGTCCATGGACATGGCTCCATGGTCAGCCTCAGATCTGGTTGTGTAGTGACCCTTAGGGCCCTGGGACTCCAGCTGCTGGCAGGCTCTGGGAAGCACACCTGAGTTGTGGCTCCTGGTAGCTCACAGCTCCACTCTGTCCTGTAGCTACAGCCTGTCCTGCCAGCTGGAGCCCTGATACCAGTGGACCAGAAAGATTTGACTCCTCTTCAAAGACAAGAAGAACTGCTCAGGGCAGAGTGAGTGTCCAGACTGGCAGTGGCTGAATCCATGGGCTCAGGAAACATTTGGGCTGAGCGTAAGCCTGGGCAGGCAGACAGCTGGCACTGGGTCCCAGCTCCACTGCTGAGCAGTCCTGTCCAGGGCAATTCCCCTCACCTTTGTGGGACCAGTTTCCTCCTCTGTGAAATGAGTGATGCTCAATGTCATCTCCCGTGTCAGGGACAAAAGTGCTGTTGGCTGACTGAGCACTCAGCACAGGGCTGGAGCACAGAGTGCAGTGGGGGTGGGGAGGAGGTGTGCACTCTGATTCTGGGGGAGGCTTCACAGGAAATGCCTTTCTTTATCCAGAAACTAGGCCCCCAACAAAGAGCCCAGTGGCGGCGGCTGATGACCCCCCTGAGACCAGCTAAACCAAAGCCTGTTCCTCAGCAGCGGGACTAAGCTGGGACATTCAGGGTACATGGGGCCACTTCCTCCCATTCTGATGAGGACAACTTTGTGATCCTTTCCTGGGGTCCCCTGAAGGCCACAAGGGAGGGGCCAATCCCCCCATCTCCCTCACACCTTTTCCCCAGTGCCTTTTTTCCCTCTTTGGAGGGGCGGTATTTCTATGGTCTGTGGTAAATGCTGTGTTTGAATGTTATATTAAATGCCTGTTTCTTTCCCAGCCTGGGAGTGGTGCTGTGGTTCTCTGGCTCCCCGCGCTCATGGAAATGAGACCCAGAATCTCACATTCCTCATTGATTTAGAAACCTCGCAGAGTCAGTGTATGTGGAGAAGGGAGAAGGGCCAGCCCCCTCCCTGGCTACTGAAGGACACCCCCAGTCCCCCTCACTCAGAGGACGGGAGCAGTGCAGTGTGGGGCCCGCGGTCCAGGAGCAGAGAAGGCCCCTCTGATCTCCTGGCATTGAGAAGATGGAGGCACTTTCTCAGGCAGAGTGACAACCACTGTGCTGGGGGTGACTTTAAAACTAGGACTTGCCAGGACCATGTCCTGCCCAGGACAGTGGCTGCTTTCTACGCTCTGGAGTTAGAGGGAATATTTTCCCGGTTTCTCTTGCACACAGATTAGGAACTTGTAGTTTTCTGATTCAGTCTCTGGATTTGCATCAGCTCTAAGTGAGGAAAATAATATAAAAAGCTCAAAAGGTGCACGTGGAGAGGAAGAGGCCAGAGGAAGGTCCTGTGCAGACAGACTAAGGGCAGGCAGGACTCTGCCTCCTCGGGCCCTCGAAGGCCTCCCTGTTCACCCTTGACCTAGACTTGATCCTCCTGGGCTTCAGGTCCCTGACTCTGAATTCCTTCTCCTGCTGTTTTCTATCCAAGGGGAAAGCTATGTGATGCAGCTTTTCGGGCCTCAGCCGGGTCTCCCTCCATAAACCTGGTGCTCCCTGTGAACTAGGATTTTCAGCACCCCTGCACTTCTGCATACAATGGTCTCTTAGGGCAGAAATTCCCTAGATGCCCTCAGCCTTTCTGCCAAGTCCATGGTGGCCACTCCTCCCTAGCTGGGCCTGATGGATCCCAGGTGAGCTCTGCTTTCCCAGGATAATAGACCATCATCCTGGCCAGGAATGACCCCACAGTCTCCCTTGCTGCCCAGGGTGACTTCTGGGCCTGTGTGCTTCTCAGATCCATGGTCTCAGACAATCACCAGTTTACACACTCTGGTGTATTTTTACTGACTTTTCCTGAAGAGGTAGCTGGGCCTGAATCTATAAAGTCTGTAGCCCCTTGGCTGGCTGTATTCTTTTCCACAGTCTTGTGCTGTGGCTCTGTCATGGAGGTGTGAGCCTTTCCTGTTGGGAGCTTTGAAAGAGGAGGCATAGGAAGGGTGTGAGTTGGGGGTCCTGCGGGGAATGCCAGCAACCTGATGATCTGTGAGTGTGCGTTGACACAGCCTTACCAAGGGAAATGCTGAAGTGCTTCCCATCTGGGTGATAAATAGACACTGCTCTGAGCTCAACAGGAGCACCGGCTCCAGAACCAGGAGCTAAAGCCTTACCAACCAGCTTTTGCAATCTCGTCCCTTGGAAACAGCCTGAAAGACAAGGGTCAGGTGAATCGCTTGGCACTTCTGACTCATCCCCTCCTTCCTGGTGGCTGCAAGGGTCACTCAGACACACGGCAGGCTGGGCTCTGCCAGGGAGGCCTTCTGAGGACAGCCGGAAGCTGAGGATCGATCCTGGTTCCCGGCAGCCCAGGCCCTTCCTGATGCAGCACAGCCACCCAGGAAAGAGACTTGCCACAGAAAGGTGGGGAAGGCTGTGCTGTCCCTCCAAGGAGAAAGAGTCGTGGCAGGTCCCAGGGCTAGTCCAGGGCCGGGATGAAGGCACGGGTATCCCAAGAGTGTCTCCTCCAGCACTGGGATGCTCCTCACAGCCGACCCAGCAGGTAGCAACATTTAATAAGTCTCATGTGTACAGCTGTGGCAGAGGAGGGACAACTGAGTGCATGTTTGGGCTTCCATTGGCCAGAGTACAGATAGTCACTCAGAAGAGACCTATATTTCCAGTGAGGGCTACAATCGATCTTTGGTTTTTTACACTCTTATCTCCCAAATTTATTTTTTTTAATGTTTTTGTTTCCTGTTTTGAACTTTTCATTTTGTTCTTTTTTCCCTCATTTCATTGAGTTGTTTGGCTCTCTGTGCTGCTTTTGAATGATTATTTTGCTCCTTTCTTCTCCAGCACACCAAGGATGTTCCATTTTATCTTGTGTTCTCCACATTTTGGTCCACGTTAGAGCCAGTCAACTGATCAGACCGTTAGAGCTCCTTGTATCCCTTCAAGACACAACATTGAATAGAGAACCTCTGCTGAGTGGGGCCAAATCAATTCATTCTACCGAATCAACTGCGTGTTCCTTCCTCCATTATCCCAACCCCCTAATATTCCACTTCTTCATGGTTGTCCTAGGTTTCTCTCTGTGTGAACTGGGAAAAGGATGCAGTAATTTTGGAGTGTAGCACATTTCCTTATGGGTCCCCTTTTGTATCTCATGCTTTGGGACCTGCCAGGAGTCAAGTTCACCTCAATTGAGTCTTGCTCTAGAAGCCACAAGGGTGATGAGTATAGGTCCTGAGGAGGATCATCAGTGTCTTGCCAGGCAATGACCTCAGGGGACACGATGACAGGATCCTCAGGAAAAGCAGGGTTAATCTCCTCAGACAGGAGGAGGAGGAGGGCTGCTTCCACTTACAATGCCAGCTCTGCACCATGTGGGAGTTAAATGTTCCAGCTTAATTGGGAACTGACTGTACGTCCCCATTCCAGTTTTCAGGACCCAATTACTACTAAATCAACGCCATCACTTTCACCACTGTGCAGATGGGGATTCAACCTGTGTTGTAATTCAGCCACTTGCAGGAAGAGACTCCGGGTTAGGTTTTCAGAAATCTCAGCTCTGAAGCTACAGGAAGTAAGAGTTTGTTTCAGGGAAGATACAGACACTTCAGGTCAGTTATGGTGGTTGAGCTGAGCTGGGAATTTGACACCCTGTGCTCATCGTTTCCTTTCTCATTAATCAAGTGCAATTAGAAGCAGTTAGCTAATTTCATTACATTTGTTAATTTGTCAAGAATGATCTCAGGTATAAAATATAAACTCACTGAGAACTTTCCCTTTCATAAACATTTGGTTAGGAATATCCAGTGGTGATATTTTGTGTACCTCTGTTGTCACAGCCTGCCATCAACTCTCAGCACCCTCTTTAACACTGGAAATAGGGTCTCTGGTGCCTTTCAACTTATTCAGATCAGAGAACCAATTTCAGAAACCCCAGAACCATGTTAGAAAACACATCTTTAAGGTTCTATTCCTCAAGAACCATCTTTTGTACCAAAATCTGTATCAGAGTTCTCCAGAGAAAAAAATGTATTTATTTATAGTATGAACATATACATTTGTGTATACATGCATACGTCCTACCTCAGCAAATGACAGGCTCATATTCTGGGAAATGCATCACTAGGTGATTTTGTTGTGTGAACATCATAGAGTGCACTTACGCAAACCTAGATGTGGCAAATAGAAATGGCAAGAAATAGGATATATTGGGGTATATGAGGAAGACCTTTGGTATAAACCTAATTCGGCCTGACTTTGTTTTTCCAAAAGGGCCTGATGTGGCCATTGAGCAGGCATTGTATATCTGCTTTAAGCATTTACTGTGGCAAGAACAAATGGCCTTAAGATAAAGGTGCAACTTCCCCCCACATTGGCCTTTCCTTACGGATAAGCATCTTTCCTTAGGCTAGGAACTGACTGCTGTGCTCACCTTTGACCACCCAGCTCACCTGTGAGCACCCAGCTGGAGACAACAGATCTGCCACCCTGCTGTGTCCACCAAGACAGCAAACCTATCTGCTGTGTCCATCAATCGCTGTGCAGACAGAGCAGTCCCACGACTATTGCAAAAGGACATTTCAACCCTAAGTGAAACATCCTCTTTGGGAGTATATAACCACTCTGTACACCCCACTTCTTTGGTGCCCTTTCTTCCTTTGGGAAGACAGGTCCCGGGCCATGGTCCTCACATTTTAGCTCAGAATAAATTCACCCAAATTTTCATTTATAGATTGGTTATGGATTATTTTTGTTGACATTTCTTGGTGTAGTTGGCAGGATTTCAGAGAAACTCACTGAAGACCACCTGGAATCTACACTGAACTGGCATTTGGCACCAATAGGGGCCCACTGAGCCCCCTGGATCACTGCATTCTTCAGGTGACCCTGGTGAGTTGTCTTGAAACCTGGACCTCCTTATTTTAAGTTGATGGTCCAAGAGTTTATATGAGCTGGTTAAGGTCTTAAGACTAGATGTCTTAATCAAGTATTGGTACATACCCTAAGTAAGAGGAACCTAAGAGGAATTTCCTAGGCCAGAGGAGCCTAGAGGAAATTTAGAGTGAATGGGGAAGGCTGATGTTTTTAATTTGGCTTTAAATTGGAAAGAATTGTGTCTATAAAGTCTGAACAAACTGCTTGATAGAGAAATGAGAGACTGAACGTGTTTGGCTTTGAAGAAAGGGACACTAGCTCCTCCTGGCCTTTACTAAAAGGTGTCCTTAGTGACTGAGGACCTCAACAGGAGTGTCAGAGGATCAATCATTGTGATGTGCAGTGGTCCTGTAGGGAACTCCTCTCTCATTCATGGTAATTAATTATGGCTCATCTGGGGATGCACACATAAGGGCTGGTCACCCAGCGCTCTGAGCCCCCATGGCAGTGTTAGACTGCTGGCGTGAGAAACTGAGGTATGTAAGAGAGTGTTTATGACCTTTCTCTAGGGAGTGACACTCACAAGCAGCACATTTTCTGACCCATTACACTGTCCTTAGAAGTTGTTCAGACTTTATAACAAAACAAAAGTGGGAAATCAAGCTTCTAAAACAGCCCAATCAGTTCCCAAATGGGCAGCCTCTCCTCTGGAGTCTGATTGGCTTCATGCTATGACTGCAATTGCTTAACAAAGGGTGATCCCAAGCCAGATTGCTAAGGCCAAAAGAAGGAAAGAAAGAGGAAAAGACTGGGAAAACACGTTTTTACACTGTGGTCTGCTATGAGAACACCTAACTCAGAAGTCTAAGGAAAGTCTTTGTGGTATCTGTCTGTTGTGTGTGTGTCTGTATGTATGTTACAAATGTGTGCTACTTTACCCCGGGAT